CCATTGAATTATTATTATTAATGCTTTATAAGCATGTTAGTAATCCCACTATGCGGATTTGGTTTATTGATAAGGCCTTGGACTTTGTATGACCGGGTCTTTCCTCAAGAATAGCCTTGTAATATAAGGAGACTAGCTTGAGGGGTGTGCACACTTGGGTGAGGAATTGAATTAAAAGGAATTGGTTCTTAATAAAGGAATTGGTTTTATTAACTATTATTTTGAATATGAATCATTGGAATCGATTTTGGAATAATGAGTTTTGAATTTATTGGATTAATTATTGGAATTGGTTTTAAAAGCATGTTTGCAAATAAATTGAATTTACACTATCTTGCACTTATCGTACTTAGCATAATTTGCTAATTCGTATTTCTTATTTGTTTTGGTTCGCCCTATTTACCATAATGGTAAGCAGCGTTGACTATTTTCAGGTGGAGTCATGAATGAGCATATGGGAGTCCCGGGATTTGCTTCACCTAGTTTAGGAATGTGTCTTGTCTTTATTTTGAGTACTCATAACAATGTTACTATTTTTTATAAGTATTAATAAAAGAAAGTTGAGTTTCCGCTGCAAGTTTTGTTGTTGAGTTAAGTATTTTTTAGTAGCCTTGCGTAATCACACGGCGGTAATACGCCAAAGTCTATCTCTACGGTATAATTATATGTATCATACTAGTATTTTCGTAGAGGGAGATTTAGGGGTGTTACATATGCAGTAATTAAGTCTAAAGTTCTTACATCATGATCGTTAAAAGTATATATTTATTGATAAATGATGTGTATTGCTAAGTTCCTAAGTATGTTAAGTTCCTATGTATGTTCTTAACCTGTTGAAATGCTATTTACTTGAAAAACTAATGGGGAATAAATGTACAATGATTATCCTTTAATATGTGATAAGCATCATTAGTTTGTCATCATCAAAAAGGGGGAAATTGTTGAGTAATTAGGTTTTGATAATTGTAAACTAATGATGATTATCTATCTAACGTGTTTGTTTAGTTGTGCATAGAAAGAACAAGTTATGCTTGGAACAGGGTACAAGGAACCTGAGTAATGACAGGTATATATGTAAAGAGCTTGAGTAAAATATGATAAACAATAGAGGAACAAGAACAATGATAAGTGTTATGGTTGATAAGCGTGATGATGGCTAAGGAACCATTTTGCATATGTTAGCTTCATAAGGTAAGTATCCTATGCATATATAGGTCATGTATGTGTAGGAGTCTTTTAATTTAGTTTAGTTTTCTTTATTGTTTTTACAAATGAAAAAATTATACTTCTGTTTTACTTTGTTATCCTCAGAAGTTTGCTCAATTTGTCATCACCAAAAAGGGGCAACTTGTTGACCCTTATGAGATTTTGATGATGATAATTATGATTGAGCAAACTTCCATTTAATAAGGATTTTCTAGTGTTGTGATGTTTACAGGTTTAGTAAACTTTGGGAGTTGAAGAAGGAACTGAAACAGACGAACTTTAGAAGATCCATGAGGATACAATTAAAGCTAGAAAAAGAGTTCTAGAAATGGAACTTCAATAAGTTTCCTAACAGGAACTTCGCAACGGGTTGTAACAACCTGGTTCCGGTGTAATGCTGGGGTAAACCCTAAGATCCAAAATATATTAAGACTACAGGATTCCAGAACAAGAGTTTCAGAGAAGCAACATGAAGATAGAGAAATAGAAGTATATTGCTTTAGGATTCATGTAAGTATGTTGGACATAAAAGTCGGTCTGGAATAAGTCTATATAGAACCCAAGGTGAACTCCAGACAGTCAATGAAATTAGAGTAACTAACTTATCAGGAACTCGGAGACTATTATGGTTCAGGAACTTAATAGGAACTTAAGTATGCACGTCGTTAAAAGTCGGTTTTAATGATGTATATATTTACCTAATATGTGCATATCTTTTAGGGATTTGGTTTTACTGAATAAAGATATTTATCTTCTAATAAATCTCTTTTGGAAAAAGATAAGTTTGTTTAAAAAGTATTTTTAAACAAAAAGATAAGTTTTGAATAAAATTTGATTTTATGTTAAGTCTATCTTATTATTATTGACAGTTTTTATTCTTAACAAAAAGATAAATTTTCGGTAAACTTGTTTTTAGAAAATATTTTTAAATTTATCTTTTCAGAAAACTTATCTTTTTCAAGATGAAATGAATAATTCGAGTGTACTATAAATATGCTCTGTATTCATTCAAAATTGAGGCTGACGAAGTGTAGTGGTCGTGTTTAATGGTTTCATCCTTCACCACGAAGCTAAGTCGGTCCTCCTGGTCAAAGTTCCTATCAGGTTCTAGTTACAGTACGTCTAGTGAGTTCCATACAGATCTCGAGTGTCCAATATATTAGTTTTATCTCTTTATTCATAGATGTGTATTTAGAGTTATTCGATGAGTTCTTGTAATAGGAAAAAGGGTTTGAGTGTTTTTGGTTTTAGGGTGAGATTGTGAATTCTCTACAAATTCACTTTTGAGTGTATGAGTTTGAATTCTCTAAAATTCAAGTGGTAGTTAGTCAACCTGAGTGTTTCTTGGGTTGCACAGTAAGATAAAGGAACCTGAGTGTGTCTTGGGTCGAAAAAGGAACCTGAGTGTGTCTTAGGTCTGGTAGGATAGGTTCCTATCAAGTGGCAAGTGTCCGTGGTGGAACTTGTGAAAGGTCTGTTATAATAGGTTGTACTGGGAAGAATTGCCTATTATAGTGGAGTTTGTTTGAAAGTCCCGAAAAGGACCGAGGTTTTACTTCTAGTTAGGCCCTGGAAGGTTTCCTCGTAAAATCTGCTTTGCACTCTTTAAGTTCCTAACTATAACTGTTTTATATTCCGCAAAAATTAGGCACTAGGAACTTACTACAATTCACCCCCCCTCTTGTAATATACCATCTAAAATAACAATGAGCAAGCGCCAATCTTCATCAAAGCTTGTCTTCTACCATTTGAATGGTGGTGATGCCAAAGTCCATGTTATCGCTGATACTAGGACTTCTAAATTAGTAGAAGCTGAATATTCCAAGTTCCATTCTTCTGTGAAACGTTTTGATATTGTTGGTTAAACTGGATTTCCAGGAAAAAACCAAGAGGGGGGTTCAAGACCCGCTCAATGGTTATCACATATATAAGGAAGTTTCTTAACAGTTTAGATTTCCTAGAGGTTGAAACACCCATAATGAATCATGTTCCTGGTGGTGCAAGTTCATTTGTGATCCATCATAATGAGCTAAATATGAAGTTGTTCATGCGTAGTACGCCTGACTTTTATCTAAAGCAGCTTGTTGTTGGTGGAATAGATCGTGTCTATGAAATTGTAAGGCAATTTAGCAATGAGGGTATTGACCAGACACATAACCCTGAGTTCATCACTTGCAAATTCTATATGGCATATGCAGATTACAACGATATGATGGAGCTAACTGAAAAATTGCTGAGTGAGATGGTGAAGGTATTATATTGACAGGTAGCTTCAAGCATACATGACATTCAAATGACCCAGAAAAGAAGTTGGTCGAGATTGATTTTACCCCTCCATTCAGGTTTGTGCACTATCACTGTTTATTTTTGATAGAGTATAAAACATATTCTTGGGGCTCAACCAAAAATTAAACTGATAGTTTGTTTTTAGAATGACCAACTCAACCAAAAGCTTAAGCTGATGGTTGAGATCTAGGAATATGTTTTATAGTCTATTAATTTTTATTCAAATCATTGGATATGAAACACATTTAAATCCTTGACTTGTTAAATTGCAGGAGGATTAACGTGATAGAAGAATTAGAGAAATGACACATATATCGATACCACATGATTTAGCTAGCGAGGAAGCAAATAGATATCTGATGGATGCTTGTGTGAAATATAATTTCAAATGTCCACCTCCACAAACTACAGCACGCTTGCTAGATAAACTGGTGGGACATTCTTTGGAGGATACTTGTATAAACCCAACTTTCATCATGGATTATCCAGAAATGATAAGTCCTTTGGCCGAGTGCCATAGATCAAAGCTTGGATTGAGTGAATATTTCAAGCTGTTTGTGAACAAACGCGTGCTTTGCAACGGTTGTACTGAATTAAATGATCCCATCCGACGATTTGCAGAACAACTAATGGTTTTGGATGAGGCTTCTATGGCGCTTGAGCATGGGCTGCCTCCTTATGCTAATTGGGGTTTGAGTATTGATCACCTAGCAATGTTGGTGACAGATTCCCGAAGCATACAGGAAGTCCTGCTGTTTCCAACCATGAAGCCTCAGTTTGAGCCATCTGCTCACGAAAATCAATGTTTATCATCAACATCTAAGTCTTCCACTTTCTGGGTTGTTGTCATTGGAGACATCCATGAGGATTGGATATTGGAGTACGACTCGAAAGCACTCACAGGTGACTTCGGCAATGAGAATGTTGAGCTTGTTAAGGGTATCGCAAAGCTTAACTTTCCCAAAGGAGGAGGAAATACAAGACGATCAGCCTGATCGACTTGTAATGCACATCAGGTGGCATTTTATGTAAATACTCGACACGGGTTAGGGTATATGTGTAATTATACAGGGATGGTCTCAAACGGTGGTTTTGTACGGAAAATTGTTGACTAACGGTGAACTTAGTCAAACCAGTAATGTGAGTTCTTGCCGTTAATTCACTTTCCCAATCTGAAATTCCCCCATTTGCATTTTGACCTATCTTCATCTTCTCCGACATATCAAAATTATAAAATTCCAATCAAAATTAAATTTGGTTTCGCAAACTGGAGCAAGTAAATTAAATTTCGCATTCAAATTGCATTTGGGTTCGCAGACTAGAGGAAGTTAATTAAATTTCGCATTCAAATTGCAATTGGGATCGCAACACTTTCATATCGACTGACGAAATAAGCTACCCAGGTGGAATCACTGTAAGTACAACTTTACATTTGCAATGCAATGTTGTGGTGAAAAATTGTTACAATTCCATTTGGTTGATTTGCTTGTTATGTATGATAGGATGGTTTTGATGCGCTGAAATTGAATTCAACGCCTCAGATCTGAATGAGATGGGAAATGGGATAACATTTGAAGTGAGAAGATCCCCTATTTCATCACCCAAAACTAAGATGATCGGCCATGAGAAGTGAATGAAATCCTCTTAGAAATGGGATGACAATGGCGAACAATATGCAGCTAAACAATAAAGAAAAAAACCCAATTTGTCGTTACTTTATCAACCTAACGACGTTATTTGCTAGATGGGGGGCCCACCATAACGGCAAAAATCCATCAGTTAATAATAACCGTACACATGAATATGATATTAATATCTGGTACAAGGAATGGCCCACTAAACCTACTGATTGACAAAATGAAGCACATCAGCCTGATTGCCTAGGTGCTCCTCCCCAAAGGAGCAATACTTGGAAATCATGATTCCTGGTCTACTTGTAAGTTCTCCAAGAAGGTGAAAGATGGAGTTCAAGTCCAACTGGAATGTCTCGGTGAAGCGCATGTCGAATATGACCACTTGGACTTCCCTCCACTAAAGCTTAGTGTTGTAGGTGGGAGACCGTTTTCTTGTGGAGGCAACCAGTTATTCAGGAAAAAGCTTTTAACTGCCAGGTACCACACTATATACTTGTATATTTAATTAGGACCTGAACTGAATTGATTGGGCTAAATTAAAATGAAAGGAAATGAATTGTTTATAAGAGAAGGAAATTATATAATGTACTGAACTGATTAGAGTTGAAATAAAATGAAGAGAACAGACCTTTAGTTGTAGCATGACCAGTTATTGTAGTAGCATAATCCATGTCAAATGAATTACAATGTGGCTTTTGCATGCTATTCATTGATGGTATATGTTGTGTTTTCAGGTATGGTGTACATAATATGGAAGAAAGTGCCGAACAAATTTATAAGGTTGCTTTACGGACTCCAAAGGAGAATTCCATGATACTTCTCTGATTCTCTTTCATAACGAACCAAAAGGTATTTACTGACTTCTAAAACTTGGCCTTGAATATTTAGCTACTCCTAGTGTCTCTCTGTGTCATTCAAGTAATAGTACTTCTCTTTAAGTTTATTAATAATTTTTAAAATTTAAATACCTTTAATAACACTCATTTGTTAAAATTTGAGTTTCAAAATCTATACAAGTATAAAATTAGAATTTTCATGTCTATCAATAGATTGACACATTAAATTATTATCATTTTTATATATCAAATTAATTTTGTAATATAGCATGAAATTAACCAACAAAGTGAGTGTCATAAATTGTGGATAGGTTTTTTTTTTTAAAAAAAAATAAAAAAATTCTTAAGTCAATAGTGATAATTGTAATGTAAAATACGGAGTACGAAATACTTCCTTTTCTTATATGACTATTTTTTCTAATGTAAAATACGGAGTACGAAATTTCAATTTTTGTATATTTTTAGTTATACATATGTAAAAACTATAAAATCAGATTTTAATAAGTACACATTGAGACGAATTTAACAAGATCTCATATGACTATTTTTTTCTTTAAGTATAAATCACGAAATGTAATTGAAATTTAGTAAGTGAATAATGTACACAATTAAAATGTTACGAGTATTATTTTTGTGATCCAAAAAAAAAAAAAAAAAAAAAAAAAAAAAAAAAACCAAAAAACCATTTTGAATATTGTAATTTTGTTTGATAGGTCATGGTTCCAGAAATGACGACATATGCGGCATAGATTGGGAGCCTGAAGGTGGAGATCACGGAGATCCTAGTAAAATTTTGATCTAATTTCCTATGAGTTTGGATTTATTTTATCTAAACTTATACCTCCTCAGTTTTTTTATTATTGCATCATAGAGGTTGGGTACAAATATTTTGGTAGTGAAAAAAAGTAAAAGAGAGAAAGGTAAAAATACATAATTGCCCATGTGACATATTGATAAACTAAAAAGTAAGTGTGAAAAAACTAGGATATGTTGGGTATTTATAGTGTGAACACAAATAATTTTTTTCCTAAAGAGAAAATGGTGCAATCTTTGTGAAATTTCTTTAAAAGGCAAGTTGCAATAATAAAAGAACGGAGGAAGTATTATTCTGTCTAGAGATAAACGAAATTATATTATTGCATATATATTTTATTTATAATATTTTCTTGAATTGATAATTACTATTTTATGCTATAATACAGATTTAGCTCAAGCAATCTTGCAATTGAAAGAGACTACCAATTATAACATTCCTTTGGTAGTATTTGGACACATGCATAAAGAGTTGGCTTGTGGATCTTCGCGGAAGATGATAGCCATGGACGCTGACACCATGTACCTAAATGCAGCCATTGTTCCTAGAGTGAAATATCCGACTTCAGGAGGTTCAATTCGGGCTTTCACTGTGGTAGAATTTTCAAATAGCAAAATAATCAAGGTAGTAGAAACTTGGTTGTCAATCGTTGATGAAAAAATTTCAATTGAAGAAGAGCATTATTTTTTTAGTAGTAACTACTTTTTAAAGTTTGAACCTTTTTTTTTTAATTAGAAATTGTTTAAGATTATTAAAGATATGATTATCAATATTTTGAATGTGATTTTTTACAATAAGAAAAAAATATTGTTGAAAAAAAATCATGCTTTCATGGTTTTTTTTACTTAACTTATTACATTTATCACGTTTGTTATCGCTTAACTTTATATATCAATATCTTTAATTTTTAATAAAAAAAGAAAAAATTATTCTATGATAGTATTTATTAATACGATTCTAATGGCGCAAGTAATATTTATAATTATTTGACTCTCCTAATTCAAGAAGCTATGACTCTCAAATATTCACACACATGCCTCATTAAACTATCTATAACTATACACTCCGTACTAAAGTAGACACCAAGAGTGACGACATGTATTGATAATTGGTGTGATTTATTCCTGCAAAAAAATTTTATCGTTTTTCTTTTCACTTTTCACACTCACTAATGTTTAGCTCGAGTGATGCCTTGAGTCTATACATTAAATATTTTTTACATCAAATTATAGTTTTCTTGTATTATAATAATCTTAAATACTTATATTATACTAGAGTGTACCCGTGCAATGCACGGGAAAAATAATATATTAAATACATGAAGTTAAATTTTATAAGATACCTAACTTTTATATGTGGCTGACCATTCTGTGTGCTTAGTTATTTTATTAGTTTTATAGGGGTTATCCATTAAGTGTTACACATGTAAACCCGTTATTGTTATAAGGGTTATTCCGTCAGTGTTATTGGAGTTATATTTTTTTGTTGTTGATGATTATTGGATTAACAAAAAGGTAGTTATTGAACATTTTTTTTAGATATATCATTCAATGTGCATACCCGTGTTAATGCATGGATTATAATATACGTGAAGGAAAACAACACAAAGTAATATGTTACGTAGTAGTAATTAGGGCTGTACAGAGTTTGGTCTAGACCGTAACCAAACCAGACCAAACCGCATTTTAGCGGTTTGGTTTGGTTTACGGTTTGAAAAAATACGGTTTGGTTTCGATTTCTTGGAAAATACAGTTTGCGGTTTGGTTTGGTTTTTCAAAAATTATAAACCAAACCAAACCAAACCGTAAACCAATAAACCGCATTTTTATATTTATATAATATTTTTAAAAATTAAAATAGTTATTATATATTTTTAAAAAGAAAAAAAAATAATAAAAAACATGAAAAATCATTAGAAGACGGTCAGTAATTCTGTATACTACTATACTCCAAGATCAGTTTAGCTCCGGCAATCATTGATATCGAATAATGTAGACCCTGATGTTGTCAAGTTGCTGCCAATTATTAAAAACTATAATGTAGTATAAATTTTTTTTTTTGGACAAATGTATTATGTTTTTTTCCACTGTTAATTTATTATGTATTATTTTTATTATGTATTATTGTGTATTTGTGTTAGCACTTGATTAGTTGGTTGTTATTTTTATTAAAACTTTGTAGTATAATTTAATCTGTTTGGGCTAATTATTTAACCTTTATTATAAATTTATTAATATTTGACAATTTTTAGGAAAAAATTTCGTCTCATCATAAACCGCAAACCAAACCGCACCAAACCGCATTATTACGGTTTGGTTTGGTTTGGTTTCAATATTAATATGGTTTGGTTTGGTTTGAAAAATTGACCAAATAAACCGTATTTTGCGGTTTGGTTTGGTTTATACTCAAACCGCACCAAACCAGACCATGTTCACCCCTAGTAGTAATTATATAATATGAATTCCTTGAAAAATATACAAAAATAAAATAAAAAATAAAAAAAAAAAACAAAATTATTGGGATGGGTAGTAAAAATGATATGTAAATTTTTTGTTTCACAAAGTGTGGCTGGTCACACTTTGTGGCTAGGTTATTTGTTTTGGAGTTACTCAGTTGGTCAAGGGTTACTTTATAAGGGGTCACTTGATCGGGGTTACTCGTCGGTTGGTCAGGGGTTACTCTGTTAGGGGATACTTGACCAGGTGTTATTTGGTCTGTTAGGAGTAGGGGTGGCAATTCGGGTCAGTGGGTCAGGTTCGGGTCAGATTTCGGGTCGATTTCGGGTTATACTTAAAAACAATCAAAAATACTGTAAAACTAAATATTATTACGAAATATGAAATTTTGGTCAAATCAGGTCGAATTCAGGTTATTCGGGTTTCGGTCGGGTCGAGTTCGAATTTCTCTCAGTAACTTCGGGTTGGGTTCGTTCGGGTTATTGAGTCGGGTCAGGGATAGCCAGCCCTAGTTAGAGGTTACCTGATCAAAGGTTATTTGGTCAATTAGGGGTTACTCGATCGGTCAATCAGTTTTTAATCAGTTAGGGGATATTCGGCCAGTCTAGAGTTATTTAGTTAAGGGTTACTCGGTTGGACAGAGCTTACTTGGTCAGAAGTTACTCCGACTGGGATTACATAGTTAAAGTATAGTGTGTCAGTTGACCACACAGTGTGGCCAGCCTGACGGAAATCGTGCTGCTTTAATTTTGATTACTATTGAATTAATAAAAAGGTGTGATTTATAAAAATATAAAAGAAAAATAATTGTTAATTTAACGGAAAATAGTGGATCTTTATGGTGGTTGTGTTGTTTATTTTAAATGGTCTACATATAATCTTAAGATTAATTTTCAAGTCTTATGCGGAAAAGTTAGGAAAAAATGTGCAATAACAATATAAATTCCTTGTACTTTTAGGGTTTTTAAAAACCAAATTATTGTTTGATATAGTATAATAGGTAATTTTTTGTTTTTTGTTTATTTATTTTATTTTATTTTTGTAATAGTGAGTAAAATGGATAGTACATGTTTTATTAGGAAAAATAAATATAATAGTAATAGTTGAAGTTATTTTTTTTATTCTTTGTTTTTAAAAAGGTGGAAGTTATTTGGAGGATGGTGCCAAAAAAAAAGAGTGCATGAGAATTGAGGATTGAAGTTTCGGAGAAAACCTCATTAACTCACTCTGCAATTATATATTAGATAGATTTAGGGTCTGTTCATATTCACTGAACAAAGCTGAACTGAACTAAACTAATTGGAGCTGAACTGAACTGAACTAATTGGAAAAATTAAAATGCATAAAAATATATGTGGCATCCTAATATATGTGGTCCATTCAGCGTATCCTAATACACTCGGGTACTTGAGTGCACATGGAGGATCTGATGTGAGGTATCATTTGCCTAATTTCAAGAGAACATGTCCTCCACGAGGAAAGATTGAGCAATTCAATTACCTACACTGTTCTTGTCGAAATGTAATTGAGAGAATTTTTGCGGTTCAGAAAAATAGGTGGAAGGTTTTACAACCTAATTCGATGCCGCAAATGGACTTTTGCTATCAGTTTCAAATAATCGTTGCTTGTTGTACTCTACACAATTTTGTTCATTTACATGAACTAGGGATTCCATTCATGCACCAAGTTGAAGCCATGGGACCAATAGAAGATCATACAATGTACGATGATAACAGAAAAGCAGCTATGGATATTGTACGAAACCAAATAATTGATCAGATATGGGAGTTTATTAAAAGGAATGCCGAGGTAATGGAGCAACTTAATGGAGAAGAAGAAGACGAAGAACTAACCGATTATGAAAGCTAGTAACTGTTGCGTAGTACTCTCATTTTGTCAATGAGTTCAACTATAAAAAAAATGTGACCATTTTGAATGACGAATATAATTAAAATAATAATAATAATAATAATAATAATAATAATAATAATAATAATAATAATAATTATTATTATTATTATTATTATTATTATTGTTGTTGTTGTTGTTGTTGTTTTTATCATTATTATTATTATTATTATTATTATTATTATTATTATTATTATTATTATTATTATTATTATTATTATTATTATTATTGTCGTTGTTGTAATATGTTAAAACATCTAAAAAAAAATTAAGAACTAAACTGAACTGAACTGAACTATAAATAAGTAAATATGAACAGTCCCTTAGTTGAAGAAAATAATTTGTAGAAAACAAAAAAACGCATGCCATACATTAACTATATTTAATAAGAATAAATAAAAAAAAAAACTGTTTTTATTTCACCAAATGCCCTTGACCTTTCGGAAAATTCACCAAATACCCTCAAGTTTTTCAAAATTCACCAAATACCCTCAAGTTTTTCAAAAATTCACCAAATACCACTGACGTTTGTTATTATTCATACTGTGACCTCAAAATGCCCCTAACATTAAAGGTCCGTTAGATATAAAATTTAATTCACCAAATGCCCTAACTTTGTTAAATAATTCACCAAATTCCCTAACTTTGTTAAATGAAATTTAAATCACCAAATAATGAAATGACTATTTTGAAATTTAGAAAGCTAATCGTTAGTTTTTGTTTTCACTCTTTTTACATAAATACTCAACACATAGCAGCCATCTTATTTGTTTAACCACAAATTTTAAAACCATGATTTATATGTCTAAATCCTCTTCCTCGATGTATGGGTGCGTTAGAGTTGCAAACAACCTCTATTCATAAAAAGAAGTGTTGGAGACTAGGTAAACAGAGAAAAAAAAAATGGGTCAAATGAAGTAGAGATGATAATTTTGCAAGCTTGGGCGGGAAACGGACTGGGCATATATTTCATATATTTTCCAACGGGTTTAATATAGCAAAATCAAGCCCCTTTTATGAGGGATTGACAATTTATTCATACCCGCCCTAGTAAACGGCTTGGGTTTGTCCGCGAGCTAACGGACTTAGAGCTTCTAAAAGTACTCATACATTTAGGAAGATGATTTGGACATATAACTCATTATGTTAAAATTATATTCTAATAGTGTTTTTTTTTATTATTCTTTTTATTATTATTTTTTATTTTTATTTTAAAGGTAGGCATTGTTGAGCTGGCAGTTATGATGATGACAACAATTTTGGTAACCCTTGTTATGCTTCTAATTTGGCAGATAAATATCGTTACCGTTGTGGCCTTTCTTGTTGTCTTCATGGGGATAGAATTAACTTTCTTCTCCTCAGTTTTATGGTTTGTGGGTGATGGAAGTTGGATCATACTGCTATTTGCTGTAGTTTTGTTTCTTATGAT